AAATTCATAAAACGTTGTGGTAAAACTATTCCCGTTATAGGCGTTTTCAGCATGTTAATTATTATAAATCAGAAAACAGTGTATTTTGATTAATGGTCCATTGCTTAATAATTACATAATTTTTGAGTAATGCACTCGTCATTTAGAAAACTCCAGAAGCTCCACGAGCTTCGGAGAGGTATGCTGATCATATTATAAGATTTTATGGTGATTGAGATAGAATTTGGCATGTCATATTCTTTACTTTTTCTTTTGGTTTTTCCGTGATAAGATGGCATAATTATACACCAATGATATCAAAGAAATAAGACATTGTTGCTTTCGAAAGGGTAATTTTAAGAACCTTAGGGTTAGATTCATTATCATAATTAAATATTATTTTACAGATCATATCTAAAATTTAAGTTTTTGAATCAATATTTAAAAAAATTAAAAATTTTAAATGTAGTAAGCTAATGTAAAAAATATGCTCCTAGGTTGTTAAAAATAGATTAGTTTTAAATGTGTGGAAACTAACCTAGAAAATAGATACATCTTAAACATTCAAACCAAAAAAAAAGAAAAAAGAAAAAAAAAAAAGAAGGAGTAAAGGCTAGGGGCCGGTATGCCATAATGTGGTGTATATATATATATATATATATATATATGGAAGATCTGAACCATCCATCTCCCAAAAATCAAAGCACAAAGCTAACTTCTATTTTTCTATGGAGGCAAATCTAAAGTGCACATTTCTCTCTCTTTCTTTTCAGATCAGCAGGATATGAATATCCTGTTGATCTATTTTTCAGATCTTAGTCCAAGAAAAGCAAAAGGAATTGCCAAACTGAAAAAAAGAAAAAAAAGAAAAAGTAATGAAATGTTATTCTTTTGCAAATTGATCAGTGCAACTCATAGAGGTTTCTTTCCCAATTGCTACTTTTTTTTTTTTTTTGCCTGAGCTGGGCTTTTTATTGTGGGCTCAAAACTATGTTTCATTGTTTTCTTAATGGACTTTAAAGACCATAAAATAAAGTTAAACTCGAAGCTAAAGAGCCCAAACCAAACCCTCACAGACCTCTCTTTCGAGTCCCTAATTTAATGTTGGGCTACTTTAAACCCATAAAGAACCATTAGCCCAACCCAAAGAGGTTGGGCTAAGAAAATTAAAGCCAATATTTTCTTTCTTTATCATACTCCGCTAATTCTAACGATTCAAAAATATTGACGGAGAGACCTGAACTAAAGAACCTAAATGAAAGGAGTAAAACGTTTGGGACTCAACTACGAGCAAACAACTTCAGTGATCAAACAGGAAATCATTTGAAGATTTTGGATAGAAAACATCGAGTCCTCCCTTAACCTCTCGCCACTTAATTAAATCTCCAGCTTATTTCAAACTACTCCATGTTTCCTCTTCGCTTTTATTTGGATAGAAGCATATAAATTTCATGGTTTTCATGCATTATTACTATTTTACCAATTCCCGATGTGATCTTTATTCTTGCATTTTCTTATCTTATTGCATTATTGTTAAACTGATAATCTTCATGCTGTTTTATGCAGGCGTCTTTGAAGACAGAAACACAAGAAGAAGAGGGAGATGTGCTTTCCAAAGGGGAAGTATGCCAGTAAGGTCTAAGGTTTAGATTAATTAGGATGAATACCTTGGTGTTAAATTCATTAATGTCCCAACACAAGGATATTTCTTTCATATTAGCTGTTTTCATTTTTACAACTCTCAAATCTTAATCCTTTCTATTCTCATGAGTTATTGGAACTGTAATTGATTACTTTAAATTTGCTATGAAAATTTTTCAGAAATCTAAAATCGCCTCCCCCTTCTATTTTCTGGTGGTCGTACAAAAGTTGGACAAATGAAAAATTCAGAAAAAGTGTTGAATGTATATAGGAGGGAATAGGAAAGGTTCAAGTTAGAATAATAATTCTTTGACCAAATTTTTAGACAAAATTTAAAACGATTTTATTACGGGACTCAAATCATGACTCAAATTATTATAAATGATGAAATGTATTATGTAGTTTGAATTGTATTAACTATAGAATGGAGATTGAGTTCTTTGATATTTGGATCTATGTCCTTACTTAATGATTTTTATTGAAAAATTTAATATAATTTAGACTATAAATAAGGTTTTCATAAATTAATACTAAAAATTTAGTCCTAAAAGCTGGTTTAGGTGTATCATCATTCGTCTAGTTATTAGTTAATGCCTTTTAGGTCCAATAGGCCTAGCCTCGTAGTGTCGTAGCCCGTGGCAAGATTATTGGAAGATAGAAAGATAGATAGGCCATATTTTGGGCTTTCCTGTCCCATAAAGTTAGAGGCTTGTAGCCCTTAGTGAAATGAATAAGAGAGAGCAGGGCTAACAATCGAGCTTTTAATACATTCTGGGCCAAGCTTGAGGCAATTAGGTCCCATCTGTTCAAAGGTAAAACGCAAGATCCCGACTACAGTGGGAGTCGAACCCACGACCTTTTATTCCGAAGTCAAACGGGCTAATCTACCCTGCTATGCGGTCGTACCATGTCTACTTGTTCGACATAATTGCATAACACTGGTTGAAGGTGAAGATCCAAACATCTCTTCTATTCTGCTAAAGGCATAACATCTATATTGAAATAAAGGATTTATTTATTTATTTTTATTTTAGCTTTCTGAGGGCTTTATTAATAAGGATAGTAATATGTAATTAACTAGTCCATGTAAAAGATTTGATCTCAATGCTAAAAAAAAAAAAAGTCAACGTGGTCTATTTTGAAAATCAAATCACGCAGGTGATCATTTTTTGTTGTACTCAGTTCTTTCTTTGTTGACCTTGACAATTAGGGGTGAGTGGGCAAATACCAATTTTAGTGAAAACTTATACTAGAAAGTAACTAAGTGATTTTTTTTTCTTCCTTTTTCATCACCGAAACCAGTACTGGAATCCTTTTATTTTCTCGGTATTGGATATCAAAAATTTTGATATTCAGTTTTTTTTTATCTCGGTATTAACCGAACTTGCCTACCTTAGAAAGAAGCATCAAGTAGTTGGCCATGGCTGTGGCGTCGATCTCTCCAACACATTTGATAATACCGTAAGGCACCAAACTCAGGCAAAACATTCCTAACATTAGATAAAATTCATGAAAACAGGAGCCATGATCCAAACTCTGCCATTCACATCTATGAAAACCCACATAACAGAGAATGCTGTGGAAATAATCTGAAAGGAGAGTCACCTGAAATGCCCAGAACATTCAAGGATCCATTCCATCTCTCGGCAAGATACGCTGCCTTAGTAGAGAAATCACCTGCAAACCCAAGGGCATAGCTTTCATCAAGACGTTGAGCAAGCATGACTGACATCATACGGCATGATTTAAGGTTGGGTATTTGATTTGCAGATTTAGGGCTGGTAATTAGGTAAAACCTGCAGCATCTATCTTTGGATATTTTCGACATAGACACAAAACTTAAAGGCAAATAGATTAGAAAACTAGAGAAATCGAAGGAAATGGTATGTACAGATTAGATCAGGT